TGACTTTCAGTTGTCTTCTTTTGAGTATTTTCAATTATTTTAAGATATTATGCTCAGTTCTATTTAATCAGAATCATAATGCCAAGACAAGACTTTTCACATTGGCTAAGACCTCTTTATTTTCAACCTGTTTTGTTCAGGGCTTTTTTGTTATGTATATCTTCCAAATAGATTGTAAGGTAGTACTAATATATTATAAAGAGTGAATAAAGGAGTATGTGTTAAACTATTCATATATCCCAGCTGAAAAGAGAGCAGCCATAGTTTTGCACTCATCTTAATACAAAATTGAGTATTTCTCTTCAAAGGAAGTACTCCTAACTTCCACTGAAGTTAGTTCTCATTTATCTCTTATTTTTGCAGTTCTGCAGTAATACAGTTTAGTCATTGATATTTAAATTACTTTTTGACTTCCCAGGGAATACGATCACTGTCACCAAGTGATGTATGGTTTTTTCCATTAAAAGCCTAGGTAATGTTGTTTGTACAGAAGCTGGCTAGATAAGCTGCAAAGAAAAACTTGCTTCCCTTAATCTTTTCCCTACTTCAGGAAGAGAAGATTTAGAGAAAATTGTGGCTAGCTTTAGCACTCTTCTTTTTAACGTATGTATCCTAACTTGAAAACACCACTTTGTATTTACGTGTTAAATGAGGTATGAGATATTCTTGATACAACTGTGTCTGCCATTTCAGATTGCCATGGGTCAGGGCCAAGCTGACCTGGCTATTCAAACTTTAAGAGAATGTGCTCAGAATGGAGAATGGCTGTGTTTGAAGAACCTGCATCTCGTTACATCTTGGCTTCCTGTATTGGAGAAGGTGAGGACAAACAGAGATGATATGGAAAACCAGACAAAATTAGTATGCAGCATTTCTAAAGCATTTCAGGCATTTCCATGGTGATGTTCAAAACTGCAGTTTAGAAATATGCTTTTGTGGTTTTCTCAGTAAATAAGGTGAACTGCTTCAGGTCTAAGCAGCACCTTTCTTTGTGTGACTGCTTTAATTTTCACACAACGTAGAGTATTTCTACCACAATGAGTGAGCAAATGCTCCAATTAGGACTTCTAGTACTTTGTGAGATACTGCCCATGTTTTTTCATAAACTATGAATCTATGTATGCTTGAATTATTTTTCCCCTTAGTTCTAGGACTTTCTTTTTGGTAATTATTTTTTTGAAGTGCAGACTCAGGCTGAGTCAATAGGAGTTTTTGCTAATTTGAAATTAAAATGTCTCATATTTTATAGAAACACACACTTATGGCATATAAAATCATTAACTTGCTAACTAAAATTGATTTTATATTATATACTTTTCATGTGCATCACCATGAAATCCTCAAAACAAATAAAGTCAGAAGAAGATCGTGGAACTCCTTCAACAGTTACTACAGTCTAAATTTCCCAGTTTTCAATGATTTTTGTAAAGTGTAGTCCATGGACATGAGCTATCTATCAGTATCCATGTGGCAATGGATACTTCAGCAATCCTATTATCCATTCTGGAAAAACAGAAAGGCAAAGCAAGATAACACTGATGTGTGTCATGTAGTCTGAACAAGACAGTCAACAGTAATGAAATGTTTGTTGGCTCATAGCTGAATACAAAATTTCAGATCTTCTAAGTATTAAAATATGGATATGTGTCAGGAGGGTCTTATTCACATGTGTTAGTTAAACTTCTTGCTGAGTTTAATATAGACTAAAATTTGCTGATGTTTGACTCTGCACATCCCCTTGCCTGTTTTGCATACTATTAGCAAGTGTAAGGCTATGTAATTCTTACATTTGAACATCCTCTTAAGAGACTTCTGCATATTCATAAGTCGGTTCCATCCAGGTACAGAAATTCAGTTCTCACAGTCTTTGAATATGGCTCCAAGTGTACCACAGTGAGGTAGATGAAAAACTGGCCCAATTGTGTTACTCAAAGGGTTACTTTCAGCATCAAAAAATCCAGTTGGAGGTCTGTCACCAGTGTTGTGCTCTAGACATTGATACTGTGGCCAGCATTAACATCCTAATTAATGAGGTGAATAGTGGAACAAAGTGCATTCTCAGCAAGCAGAGATGATAAAAAAAACTGAGGGAAATGATTGATCTAACAGATGAGTGTACTTTCATTCAAAAGAACCTTGATAAACTGGAGAAGTAGGCTGACAAGAACCTTGTGTGAAGTTCAGTAAAGGGAAATGGCAAGTGCTTCACATAAGAAGGATTAACTCCAGCCACCCAAACAGTGTGGTGACCAACTGGCTGAAAAGCAGCTTGGCAGAAAAGATCTGGGAGTCCTGGTGGGTAAGAAGGGGACCATGAGCCAGCAAAGTGACTTAGCAGCAAAGACCACCGGCATCCTGGGCTGTTTCAGGCAGTGTTGCCAGCAGGTGGAGGGAGGTTGTCCTTCCCCTCTACTCAGCACTGGTGAGACACACCTGGAGTCCTGTGTCTACCATATGGCTAGCCAGTGCAAGAGAGACGTGGGCATGCTGGAACCAGTTCAGTAAAGGGCTGCAAAGGCGATGAAGGAGCTGGAGTATGTATCGTACAAAGAGAAACTGAGACAGCTGTTCAGCCTGGGAAAGAGAAGCCTCAGGGGGAATCTTAGTGTTTTGTGTATTGGCTGATGAGAAAGAGTAAAAGAGACTGAGTCAGACCCTATTTAGTGGTGTCCCATGACAGGACAAGAGGCCGTTGGCACAAATTAAAATGCGGAAATACTATTTAAATATATGATAAAACTTATTTCAGTGTGACGACAAATACTTGAAAGAAAAGAATATAGCTATAATGGTGTTGAAAGTCATTGAGATCTGTTGTTGATACGCCGCCCACGTTGCAAGCCTTCATCATTTTTGATGTAGCCTTCTGGTATTATTGTACTTAAAAGAAGTAATGAACCACTCTATATTTTTATGTCCTGAATTTAGCATCGAGGAGAAAGGTGCAAATATGTTGACACAGCTAGGATGAACTTCAAATATGAGCACAGCATAGATATAGAAAGTGTGGAGGCAGTGTATCTTGAACTATAACCTTATGTGTATAAGCAACTGTTGATTTTTAGATAAACCTAACTTTCTAATCCAGGATATTATAATTTTATAAATACTGTTCTGTGTATAAAAAAACTCCTATCACCTCAAAGCCTATTTCAGTATATAACATCTCTTTAATAGGAACTGAATTCATTACATCCTCAACCAAACTTTCGTCTTTGGCTTACTACGGAAGTTCATCCAAAATTTACTCCGATTTTGCTTCAATCAAGTCTGAAAATAACTTATGAAGTAAGATCTGTTTGGAAACTTTTATTAGATTCTTACATTGAATGAACTTTGATGTTTAACAAGCTGCATGTTTCGATAGAATAACTGGTTTTACCTTTTATTTCAATTACATGTAATACAAGAATAATATTTTACCTTGAAAGATTACTTTTTTCCTAGATGCTTTTTCCAACTGAAAGTATGAACTGAAAATAAGTTTACATAAGAGAAATAGTTGCTCTGTTTTGTGTTCCAAATTCTTTTGTGCATTTAATTGGTTTTTCTTAAAAACAAAAATCTACACGGTGTTGTTACATGGATGGAAAAGAAGGACTTGATGAATATCCTCATCCAAAGATCACAAAATCCCACTTTCTCTTTCTTATTCTCCTTTTTGGCCCTGTAGCTTTATGTTCACTGGACTCTTTCAACAAAAATGGCTCTCCTCCCATGCAGCAGAACATACAGTTAAAAGCCTTTACTCAAAATTGAGAGCTTTGCATTTGAAATGGCTCAGCCTCAGGAATAACTGGGACCATGTTCCTATAATTGATTGGATGGTAGTTTAATGATGAATGCACTTAAGCAGAAATGTCCAATATGGAAATAATTAGTAGGAGTGCTCCCAAGTCTTCCATTCGTAATATAGTGTGGAGATTTTACCTGCAGCTGATCCAGGAAACTTTGACCTTTTAGAGTCCAATCTTGCTGACTTTCAAGAATCTGAAATAGTTACACTTTTACATTGACTTACAGGTATTTTAAAATTTTTGCAGTAACTTTTTGCCTATATTGAGGTCTTCAATGGTACAAAAACTGCAGGACTGTGTTACTCATTCCACTATCTTTGGAAAAACTGGAATTTTGCACAAATTAAGTATTCTAAATAATTTTGTTTCCTTTCCAATTGCAGTAAATATTTTGTTACCATGAAAGAACAATGATAGGCAATGACTTGGCAAATGATAATTGAGTGTTATATGGTTGTAGTATGTTCCAATGTATGTAGAATGTTACCAATGAAGATACAGGTATTAAAAAAACTCCATCAATTTACTACAGTATTTTGCAATTATTTGTCAGAAGCAACAGTGGTAATCTTATGGAAACACTAACAGCCATTTTCCAAAAGAAAGAAATAGCAACAAACATTTTTAGAAACAAAATTGTAATTTAAATATCTTTAAAATTTATGTTTGCCTTCAGACTTGCAAATGATTTGAGAATAGATGAGTATCCAGTTGTCTTTACATTTAAGTACTGTAATTTCAGTTACTGCCTACACCTTAAATGCAGTTTTTTTTAGTGGTTGTGAGCATTGCCTACCACTAAGTCTGAGATCTGGCATTTTATCATATATATATATCATATTTATATGCTAGCTAACAGTGTGAGGATGGCATAAGGCAATTTTGCATTCATCATATCACAGAAGTAATTGGTAGTTGAGGTCATAAAATCAGAAAAAAAAGTTGTTTGTTTGAAAATAATTGAATTTGCTTTATGCTGATATGTTTTGATAGACTATGCCTTCACTAGGTTCTTTTAGTGTAGTACAGTCCTATAAGTTGGTCTAGGTTCTTTTAGTGTAGTACAGTCCTATAAGTTGGTCCTGCTTACCTGTTTAGCATTTCCTTCAGTATGTTAAAGGTATTTTCACTACTGAATCATTATGTTTTTTAGGTCATTTATTACAAATATTTTTTTTTGTTAAATTTTATTTGATTAAATACTGAATCTTGGACACCAGAGCAAATCAACAAAAAGGGAAATTTGTCTAGAGCACATTCTCTCTTTTGTTTAGCATGGTTTCACGCTGTATGCCAAGAAAGAAGAAATTATATCCCTCAGGTAATATTTTATTAGCTGTCTTTTAAAAATTTGCCCCATTTATTAATTTTTATACTTGGAAGTGTTTTCCATCACGTATATGATGGGTCATATTCAGAGATGAGAAAAACTTGGATATTTTTGGTGCTTGCCTTTATTGTCTCTGAATTTATTGCAAAATAAGATCCTGGTAACCTCAGTTTCTGTCCCTTTGAAAAATACTTTACCTGCATGGGGTTATTTTGTGATTCGTGTACTAAGTGATACTGCTACAGAAGTGTGGAAAAAATTCTGTGAATCCTGTTTGCTTGGGACAGGCAAAAATATTATGGAAAGAAGATGAATGGAAGACATGAGGAAAGATACACTGGAGGGAAGGAAGAGATGACATTGTCTAAACTTTTTTCATACAAACTCCTTCAAGGAAAAGGAAGAGCAAGGGAAATCACAAATTTCTTGCGAGGATTATAATGATTTTCAGAGATGTGTATTTTCCTTAGTTAAGTTTTTGATTAAAGTGAACATTTTTTTTTCTGGCTGCATGATTCCTAAATTAAGCAAACCAAAAAAACCACCAAACATCAAACTGTTTTATGTCATGTTTATTTTATTCTGTTTATACGAGATAGGAAATTATTCTGTCATATGAAGGATTTGATCTGGCATAGTCTGGAATGTTGGAGAGTTTTTTGCTACTTTTGACTTCGTGATTTTTTTAAGGTTGTTTGCCTTTTGCAGTAACAGGAATATGGTGTTCAAGAAGTACAATAGGTGAAAATATTTAAAGTATTAAACTGACACATGAATTCTCCTTTGTTCTTTTTCAAATTCATGTTCATTTTGCACCAGTTTTTCAAGTAATATGAGAATAGGATTGGTACTCTCTTTAATTCCACTGCACAAACGTTCAGAGAGTGATGGGTTTATATTTCAAGATTACCAGTTTGTAACATTGTAGTTAATCTCAGGTAGAAGATCTTGTATTTTATATTGAATTTTGAGTTGTTTAGGGTTCAAGATTTCATGATTACCAGTTTGTAACATGGATGGACTGTAGTTAATTTCGGGATTAACTAATAATCTCAGAAGCTCTTGTATTTTATAATGAATTTTGCATTGTTTTGGGTTCATGTACAGACCTGTCCAAAAACCCGAAGATAATGCTGTTAGGAGCATCTTTCCAGAATATGACATTCAGGGTGGCAGGCTGATTGTTTTTTATGATCTGTGGTGCAGCTGCGTTATTGACCTCGGGCTGTATTCATCTCACTGGACATGTGCATGTTGCACATTTGCATTTCTCATCATGGATCATATGCACTGTTGCTATGATGTCATTCATATGCCAATATAACTGTATAAAGATAGAGCAACAGGACATACCTTTGAGACCAGGATTTCCTAAATGACTTGTCATATATCAGTATTTATTTATACTTACCTATTTACACTGAAAGCTTTTTGTGAGAATTACATGCGCAGTATGCATTCCTACTACATAAAGACTCATGTCCCAGGAAAAAAAGGAGGTATAAACTGCAAATGATTAAATTATGCATATGGTTGTCAACATTTTTATTGTAATAGTAGCAGTAATTGATAAGTCTTTTTGTCAGACAAGAAGTGACATGAATTAAGGAGTAAGGTGATGTGAGCATATTAAAGACTATGTTTGAAGAATCAGTCCTATTTATGAAAATATTGTCTGTATACTGAAAGTCAAAAAGGCCCTCAGAAATAAAAAAATGTAATTCAATTCGTGATCTAGTTGCAGATTTCAGCAAGTTTTAGCTGAGGTAAATATTCATAAAATAAATAAAATAACCTTAAGTTTATATTTTCATACTCAATGGATTCTGTGTTTTGTAAGTATATAAAATTCAATGCACTGTTACAACTGAATTTTTTTTTATGCTGCCTCTACTGAATGTTTCAAAAAATACACTTTAGAGGACACGGGTTGTTTAATTTTCCATTAAGTATTCTACAGCATTCAGTAATCACATGATACTGGTATTTGACTTCACAATCATCATTGTTGGACTAATTAAATTCTTTGGATCTCTTTTCATGGTAGGGTTGGACCAAGTTTTATGAATTTTCTTTGTCTGATCTCCGTGCTGGTTTTGACATTATTGATAGACTCTTTGAGGGTAAGTCACTTCTTAAGGAGAGTCCCATTAGTAGGGATGTTACCTGAAGAGCTTTATCTTTCTATAACACTAAAGATGGAGATGCTGTAGAGCTCATTGTCACTAAACAAGACTAGAAAAACAGGGTGAATCATAAATCCATTTTTGGGGTGATGGATAAACCAATAATTCTTGGTGCCCAGGGAGTATGCTGCTCAGCTTCTTGAGTCTAGAGGAAGAAACAGGAAATGCAGGGCTGGCCTGTAAGATGAAATCATGTGTCTCCATTCCTTCCCAGTGTGACTTCACCTAAATATTGAATAAATTAATTGAATGTGAAAGAATTCTTCATATTGAAACATAGTTGATATGGTAAAGGTAATTTTTTTTAACTGCTTTGGAATTTTTGTACAATTCCAAAGTAAAGTTAGGAACTGATATGTAGAGATAATTTTCGATTGTTGACTTAAATGGGATTTGTGGATGGTTAATACTTCAGAAATTGGACCTTAATTGTGCAGACTTAAACCACACAGTGAGGTAAGGAGATTGAATCATTAACTGTCAATAATAATCATTAATTATTACTGTGAAATTATCTTTTCTTGTGAAGGAATGATTGAAGCATTAGGAAACAACAGTTGCCACCAGTAAACCCCCAATTAAAGTAACTGCCACTTCCCTCTTTCAAGGGACTTTAGGGAGTACCTTTCTGATCAAGCTTTCACCTGCACATAAAAGCTATAGGATACAAATAGATCCCTTACCTATTTGGAGCATGATCTGCTTTTGATTTAATCAGTCACTTTATATTATGAGGTCAGATGGTGAATATGAATGAGATCAGATAGAAAATAGTGTATAAAATTTTATTTAGGACAAAGGAGCACAAAATTAAAGTTTTAATAGCATAGTTTCTGAAATTCTTATAACCAATTAGTTCAAAAAGCACTTCAAGTCTAAAGCAAAATTTCTAATAATTCATTTGTGACACACTAAGTGTTCATTTTTTCAATGACAAATATTTACAAACTCAAGTTTCTGCAGCTTTTACTATTTGGTCATATAGAAGAACAATTAAAATTTAATTATTTGATTTGTTCATCTCTTTATTACCCTGAAGAATTGCAATGACAAGAAGAAATGCTTATAATGCAATGCTATTCAGTGATACAAAACTAATACTAATACTAATTAATTAATTCCTAGGTTCTAAAGATTTTCAGTGGGAATTTGTTCATGGCTTGTTTGAAAATGCAATTTATGGAGGTCGTGTAGATAATTACTTTGATATGAGGGTTCTTCGGTCCTACTTGGAGCAGCTTTTCAATTCACGAATCATTGGCAGTTTAAATGCCAGAGGCAAGAAGATGAGTTCTTTCCCATGTTCGATCTCTTTACCAAATTCCTGCAGTATTTTGGTAGGTATACATCTTCTATCACCTAATGAATAATTTATTTTCATGAATTATTCTTGAAATATTTCCACAAAGAAAACCATAGTTACAATCCAAAGGATACCTCTATTTCTTCAAAAAATTATCTCTTTTGTGTGGAGCATTAACTCTGTCAGTTCACTATTCTTTCTTATGTTATCTGATTGGACTGTGGTGCAGAGCAGCCTAGCTATGAAGAGTTGAGTAAAAGAAATTGTGTTAATTTATGATAAAAATATAACTATGTTTTTATATAATTAGTATATTAACATAACTAGTTTTTTAAAGACTCCTAAATATTCCTACAACTTCTAGATGAAACAGGAAAATTTGAATATACCTTCTTGTTTACAAAACACATCAACATTTTGAAAAATCTGTTGACACGACATGGAGGGTATATGGCATTTTATTTGGTGATAAATATGAATTCTGATTCTCCTTCAGTATTTCTTCTTGTGTATTTTTGTTCTCATTTGATAGCATCACTGTAATAAGAATTGCTTTTTGCTCTTTTAGAGTGGAAATGTTATATAAAAGAATACAGTTTCTGATAAATAAGATTGAGAAATCTATAAATAAGATTACCATATATGTCATGTCTTCTATACTTACTTTAATCTTTATGTTGTGCTCTGCACATAATGAAGTTCTCTTCAGCATATGCTGTTAATTTTCATGAGTGGAATAAAAAGTTCCCTCTGTTCTGTCTTTTATTTTCCTCTTATACAGGATTATCGTAATATTATTGAAAGCCTTCCAGAAGATGATAAACCTGACTTTTTTGGTCTGCCAGCTAATATTGCTCGTTCATCACAGCGTATTATCAGTTCCCAGGTAAAGTTAGTGTTTTTCATTGACCTCTGAATCTTTCCTCCAGCCATTATAAGCTGAAGAACCCAACCACCTGTTCATAAATGCAGTTTCCATAAGACAATCAGAGTAAATTGATGTATTTTTTTAATATGTTGACTTTTATTTGTAGAATATTTTAATATAATAATGTTTAATCTTTAGTTACAAGAGTATTCATTTAGAACTTAGATAATTATTGAGAAAGCTTATGACAGTATAATTTAGTCCATGTTGAAGAGTGCTATGATAGTTTTACACATAGAATATGGGTAAGATTTTATGCTTTTGCTGAAACAGAAATTGTGAAAAATTTTTTCAGAAATTCCAGAATTCTTCCAATTAGTCAGAAAAATCCATTCCAATTAGAAATGTGATTTTTTAAGTGAAGTTTGGATAAGAGCACACTATTACTGTATAAGTGGAGTTGTACAGTACAAATCTCTTAAGTACTCACTAGCATAGTTTATTTGACTGGTAAATTAGTTGTGTCAGATAATGTGAAAATTGATGGATTTGAGAATCTTAAATCAGAGCTGTGAAGTGAATTTGTATGTCAGGGCTCTCTTAGTTTTCTGCCCAGCCCTGGTGTGCTGTCTTATGTATGGACAAGTTATAGAGGGGAAAAAATTAGATTATAGAATCATAGGTTGGAAGAAACTTCAGTGATCATCTGGCCCAATCTTTCTTGGCAAAATCAGTTGGAAGTTCCCTATAAATGGAATTTCCTATTCCTAAGAGTTACAGTTTTTTTAAAAAAATATCTAATTTTTTTCTCACAGTCACTTAAAAAGGGCTCCAAGAAGAAATTTCCTATTGTTGTAAGATCTCCGGTATACTGAAAAAAAAAAAACCCCACACCTTTGAGTATTGCATTTGTTGCCTGTAGAATAGTACTGGTAAATTTATTTCAATATTCCTGTTCACTTTAATCCATAGCTGTATTTTCAAACTATTTGTGGTTTCATTATAACATTAAAATATAAAGATATGTAAAGACAAATCAGTAGGATGGAGATGCATAAGGTAATAGGATGAACTCAAGAACTTGTCTATTACAAAGCTAATACATGCTCTGAGATTCAACGTAGCTCTTTTTGATTTTATCTTAAAATCATTTATATAAACATCCATTTAGATGTTTTTGTTTCTCTCAGACTCACTGTAGACTGCTGATTTTTTTTTTCAGCTGTGCTTTTATAACTGGTTAAAATCTGCTGTTCTTAAAAATGCTAATTGAAAATCAGAATAGACTTTGTAATAGGAGTTCCTGTGTGAAGGGAAATAGATAACAAGTGCAATTATATGTAAACTCACACTGCTGAACTGCTCTGCCATAGCATTGATTATAAGATATAAACTCTGGGTTATAATCTTGAAAATGTGAGACTGCTTTAGTTGCAGTTCTGTGAGATGATTTTTTTGTCATATATTTTTTCCTCCTTCCAGTAGTATTTTGAAGTATTTCTTTAAGTTTTAGGAAATTTATGTAACAGAAATGTGAGATTTTCCTTAAACTGTGTTTCTCCCTCACTGTGAATCCTACTCTATTTCCATTTCTGACAGTTTGGCAGCTGTTTTAGATCCATAGGTGAACCCATGGTTCACAACTGGAAATTCAATGACTATTTTCTAGCAGGAGTGTTTCTCAGAATCCATTACCAAGCTAAAGCAAAGAAAAGGTGAATGAACAAGGGTAGTCAGAAATCAGTTGCTACCAGCTCAGCCGCCATGTCTCTAGCGTCAGAAAGGTGAAATGTAATACCATGTCCACTGCTTCACCAATTCTGTAGACTTTCTTTGAACATTATTAATTTTTTATGCCTAGAAGCAATAGCCTGTGTTGCTGCAGCAACACACTTTACTCTAGTAGAAATAGGCTGCAGCACAGTGCAGCATTTTGAAGTCATGCAGATATCTCTTCTGTAACCTATGTATTGCTAGTGTTTGTGTAAACCTAAAACATCAATAAAAGGAAAGGGTCTTTTTTCAGAAATTTTACAAGTGTTGACTATATTCATAGCATCTTATCAGCAGAGAACTTTCCTAATTTAAAATCTGGATATCACTACCAGTATTATTTTTACATTGACAGTTACTAGTTGTTTATCAGGAATTATGTTTTGCAGTGTTCTGTAGTGTAATTCAGAGAGTATTAATATTGAATGAATATTGATAAAATCCTTCTTTTAAAAAATAAGTTTACTTAAAAGGACATGATCTTTTTAGAAGCATGACTTAATTTTTTTTTTCTGAATTATGTGCTTAGTTGCTATAAGTAGGTAAAGATAAATAAATTTTTAGAGCCTGGATTTCAAGAGTTCACTGTTTCTTTGTTTCTCCCTCACCTGATAGTAAAACAAGCTTCTGACACATCTCTTATGTTGTATATGGTCGTGAATAATCTCACGTCTCTTGCTATGTTCTCTTTGCAGAACAGTGCATTAAAATAGAAAAAACTTCCACTGACAGTGAAGCTGCAGGTGTCAGTATACCCCATCCTACCTGTTTTACACCAGTAGAGATTTTCTCTACTGCAACTCAGTTTCCTCATACTCAACAGCAGTCCTCACCACTTAGTTACAGTCATGCTCCCTTCTCCTGGTCTGATAAACACTGTATTTTGCCTATATATTGGCCCATATTCAGGTGGTCCAGTCTCTCAGTCTAAGTTATAAACAAGCTCCCTGTGTATTACAGTCCAGCTCCAAGGTACCATATTCGAGCCTGCCATGGAGTGAATTATATAGATGTGTGAAATCCTGTTTTCTTCACTGATATGATCTTCAGTTAGTGTTTTAATATTTCTTAAAATACCTCCTGTGTTAACACCAAGTATTTTATTTATATGTTACTCTAACATTTCCCACAAGTCAATGGTTTTTTAAAAACACATATCATGGAATTAGAGTTTATCTTTGAAATACACAGAGAGGTTCTGTCAGATTTTTAGTCAGCTCTTAGAGGATATTTTGTTTAAATCCTGCTAGAAAAGACTTGTGATGTATTTATTGATTCAAGCCACTTCAAATTCCCCTGACTGATATTGAAATAATTTCTTACGGGTTTCTTTTTTCTTTTAAATGCTTAAGGTACTATGATAGAAAAATGTGGTAAGCCAAATTCAAAGTCAGTTGAAATTAAAACAAAGAAACCCCAGTGTATTACCTCTAAACTATCTTCAGTCATATGAATATTATCTACCTCTTTTTAGCTAGTCATCCATTTTATTTTTTGTTACTAAAGTAAGGCAAGCAGCTGCAGGGAATAATTTGTACCTGATAGGCATCTAAAATAAAGGAGTGAATGACCTTTTGGAAATACCTATTTATTTTCATTGAACTTTGAATCAAGCTTTGTAATAACGTCAACAGCATTTCTTAAACTTGTATAATGGACATTTTAATGAGCATTTAAGAGATTAAAGAAAATAGCCATAGCTATGAGGTTGTTGCTTACTCAGAATACAGGAGGGTTTCTTTTCTTCTGAAAACTGGACTGTTTGAAAAATGAGATTTTTATTAGAGCAGGATTTTGAAAATAGTTGGTTTTGTGATTTCCTCACTGGGTATTGTAACAATGTAAATATAGTTGTCACACTTGCATTTCAAATCTAAGGATTCAATTTCAAATTGAAAAGTTCAGGAGGAGGAAGTGAAATTTCAAGCACCCATAAGTATGCAAGTTGTGCTTGTCTCAAAGACAAGAAAGGGATTTTAGTAGGGATAAGTAGACATATTTTTTTGCTTGTTTATTTTCCAGGGCAGTGAAAAACCAACACGTTTCAAATTTCATTTGTTTGTTACCAGTTTTATTTTATTCAGCCGCTAAAGTAAGTGAATGGTTCCCACCATTATGCATCCTTAGGCAAGGCTATAATTCACATTAATGGAAGAGAGTGTTCTTGTGAGACTTGCCCAGTGTCTGGCAGCGTGCTGAGGGTGCACTGCATCTCCTCCATGAGATCACTGATGAAGACACGAAGCAGCGTTGGCCGCACGAGTGAGCGCTGGGAGCACCGCTGGTGACCGGCCAGCAGCTGAAAGCCCCTGTTAGTGTATGAGTGTGTTCCTGTCCTTTGCATGGGCAAAAGTTTATTTCCCAGCATTATCTGCTCCTTTGCTTCCTGCACCTGAAGGAAGAATACTTCAGGTTTTATGTACCATGCCTCACTTATTTTCTCTTACATTTGGCCAACGCCCCATGTTTTCTTTGAACTTTTTTCATATGTGTTGAAATCCATTTCACCCCTAATTGTATCTTTCTGGTCTTATCTCCAGCTGGGCTTTGGCTTTTAGAATTTCATCTTGGATTGCCCAAGCAGTTCTTTCACTGTCCTTGATTTTTCTTCTTATATGTTCCTTTATTTTTCCTTTCAATCCACAAAGATACTCCATGCTTACTCAGTCATTTTGCTAATAATTCTAGCCTTTCCGCACAATGAGGAGGCTTGTTCTCAAGTCTCATTCAAAAACAGTATTTATTCCCCTTTTTAATCAACTGAAATTAATGTCCTGTCCACTCAACTACCTGAAATTTTCCCTCTCCTTACTATACTGTATCATATTTTCCCTCTCCCTTACTGCCATTAAACCAGTGCCTTATTTCCTTAAGTCCAAAATCTTAATTTTGCAGTTTACTTCATGGCTATCCTCAACATATATATAAATATAAAAAATATTTTCTGCCTGTATTTGCAGTGTGGGCTGTTAACCAACACTTCAAAAATTTCCTTTAGTGAGGTCATCATTAATAATACAGCTTTTTCACATAATATTTTGAAATATAATGATGCAGAGTTGCAAATAATGGTGTTTAGAGGGCTTCTGTGACTAAAAGCTAACTCTTAAATTAAGATTTTGTAAGCTGTAATTTCCATGAAAAATTTGTTGATGCAGTTCTTTGACATAGTATAAACCTTACATGTTTTTTTTTTTTCTTATTCTCAGTAAAAATGTCATCTTTCAGATCACTGCTATAAATAT